CCATCTGCATCTCCGCCGCTTCAAGGTTCGGTTTGGACAAAAATTCACTGTACGGCATCACCCTGGCGCGCCGAAAGTACTTCTCCATGTCCGAGTGAATCTCCCCACTTGCCTCCTTTGCCGTGGCGCCTACTTTGGTGGTCCACCCGTGCGCCATGAGTGGTCCTACCGTAAAAAAAGACTGCAGTCGCAACAGGCGGTACGCATTTCGCAGCAGCAATTCGCCCCGCGGCAAGTCAATACCATACTCCTGCAGGAACATCAGCCGCTCGTCCCGCGAGGCCAACTGAGAGGTTTGCTCTTCCAAAGAAGCAGACACACGACATGTTCGTTCGGTACCAAATTTTTCTTCGACTTGCGTAGCAAATTTGTTCCCCGTCACCACACTTGCTTCATCCATATTGAGCACAAACAGCATTGGTTTCGCAGAGAGCAACTGATACTGCTGCAGCCACTGCCGCTCCTCCTCTGTTTTCAGCTTCATGTATGAGACAGGTTTGCCGTCCTGCAGCCACGACACAACACGTTGACAAAATTCCAACGCCGCATCACCCGCCCTTCGTGTTTTACGGTTTTTGTGGAGTAACTTCTCCATCGCCTCCAGGTCGGCAAGCACAAGCTCATTCACAATGATGCTGATGTCATCCAGCGGTGTTGGGGCGTCAAAGCCGTCCCTGGCACTCTCAAAGCAGCGCACCATATGCAGCAGGATTGTGCATGGTCGAATGTCGGCAAGAAATTTGTTTCCAAGACCGGCCCCTTTGGAAGCGCCCTCAATGAGACCGGCGACGTCCGCAAGATCAATTTCCACATCCACAATCCTCTGCGCCCCTACGAAGGCGGCGAGTCGGCGGAGTCGATCGTCCACAACTGGCACCCTCGCCAGATTTGCGTTAATCGTGCAGAATGGGAAGTTGCCCGTTTTCGCCTGTTGACTGCAAGTAAGGGCGTTGAAGAGTGTAGACTTCCCAACATTTGGGAGACCAATAATGCCGGCACCGCGGCGTCGCAAGAGGAGCAGGCACGCATGGAGCATAACGCAACCACGTCCAAGGCCTCTCTCTGCGTGTGTCTCGCTCACTCTATTCTTTTGTTTTTGCATGTATGCATGTGTGTGCATCACATCCAGCATCGTGGTGGCAATGACAGGAGAGGAAAAAAAAAATGGAAAGAAACGAGGGTGTAAAGAACATACCTCATGCATTACACGCATGCATGCACACAACACGGCAGATGCGCTAAACGCTACCGCTTCGCCACACACACACACACACTCACCGCTGACCGCGTAAAATTACATATTGATGCATGTCGCTTTTATAAATAAAGATGCAGATGTTATTATCTAATTCTCCCTTAGCGTGAATGTTGTGCTGGTCTGAAGAAAGCGTGGACGGTCCCTTTCTTTCTCTCTCTCTCCTTCCCTCCCTCCTCCTCCTGTTGTTTCCTTTTCGTTGTTGATATTTCCATCAATCCATATTTCCTTTAGCATATACTACGCATACTGACTTGTTGCCTTGGCTGCACGTCTCATTCGAGCGCAAGGATGAGGTCGTCCGGCTCCTCACCATCATGAGCCACCTCTTCCAAAGGACTCTGCAACAAAGTCTTATTCCACAGACGAACATCCTTGTCGATCTTCAGTGATCGCCGGTACGTCTGCCACGCCTCTGCCTCCCCAACGCTGCAAGTGCGCCCAAGCCACAAAAACACACGATGACGCCATGACGTCGTGGCGGCGGCGGCGGTGGCAGGAACCACAACCGCGTAGCAACCATCCGGCTCCATGTCTGCAACGTCTAATATGTCCGTAAGCGGAGGACCGGTAAAAGGATAGGCGTATATCTCCACTTCACCTCCCAAGGAGTTGGAACGCGCTGTCGACGGTATTGAGGATTTCGTCTTGCGTGGCAATGAAGTCTTCGCACTTGCAGCAGCCGACTTTGTTGTTGTTGTTGCTGGTGTTACTAACGGCGGTGTAGGTAACGGCTGCACCAATGGCAGCAAATCCATCGCCGCAGTGTTGGCGGCAGCAACACGTGAGGAAGGTGCAGCTATTGAAAAGCTCGTATGAGCAGTGAGGGGGGCATTATTTGTGGTATTGGTGGGGTTAGCAGCATTCACAACAACAGAACTTGTCCCGGCATTATTCCTGCCACTACCACCTTTATATGAAGACAACCGTGGTGTGCTAGCAGAAGACACTAATTTGGAGAGACGTCTTCTTTCCTCCTCTCGCATGCGCTTACGGCTTTGAGAAGTTAAATTTACACGTTGTTCCTCCGCAAGATAAGTGGAAAGTCGAAAAACCAAATCATCACGGGCAAGCAATTTGTTCCAGCACTGCACCTGCCCCTGCACCACATTTGGATATCGAGTCCCACCGGATGCCCGACACGTTTGACTAAATACGCCTTCGTTAATGACACGACCCAAATCCCTCAATTCCCACAAGCACTGCGTCGGCTGCTCAACCGGTGGCATAGGGGTAAACGTGATCACCTCTCCCTTGTTATTTGTACTTCGCTTCTTCTGTCCTTGGTAAAAGCTGTACTTGATGAAGGCGTCCCAGTCCACTCTGGCTTCCTGCCATACGATCGCGTCGCAGTCCGAGCCAGCAAAAAAGTACGATTTTATTGGCATCACACGATCTTCACTCCGTGAGCCGCGGTCTCCCAGTAGGATACCATAACTCAGTCTTGGGTCCACCGTGTAGCTCTCATCGGTTCCGTGAACAACATGCACAAACGGATTGACGATCTGCGAGTCGTCATCTTGGCTCCTCTGGGACCCACGGAACGTCAATGCAAGACGGAATGAGAAAGGAAAAAGGTACTCCATGTACGGGACATATGCATATATCTTGTTAAAGACAGGAGTGGACAACTGATTCTCCCATAACAGCAAATTCACGTAAAATCCGGTGTTTGGGCTACACACTTGACGTTTTGAACGAACAAATTCAAATGCCCTGTCATAGCAAATACCCTGATGCCACATGACGTAGGCAATGACAAATGAACAAGAACGGGATACACCCTGGTGGCAATGAATAAATGTCTTTCCCCCTTTTAACCGTGCTTCCTCAACAAAGCGGATGACAACGGGAAAAAGTGAGAAAATAGGTTCATCCGGGGAGTCGCTTAGATAAAGTCCTAGATACCGAAAGATATCACTATGGACATTTCCCATAGAAAAAGCAACGGTGTTTACAACATTGGTAATGCCCTTTGCTAAAAGTTGGATGCGGTCTCCTGCGGCCTCCTCACCGCCCACAAATAACCATGGGAGTACCTCGGTGGCCTCCGGTGCCGCAGCCCTCAACTTCTTCACCCGCTCCTCTGTCATGCGAATCTCATCATTCTCGAGACTCAACTCTGTGGCGCACCGCCTATTCAGTGTTTCGTTTAGGTGTAAATTGGCAATGACAGGCAATAGCGTCGAGCCTACGGTGGCAGTCGTTGTCCGGGTGGAGGTGGCATTCGATACCGATGAGGCTCCCTCGAGTTGTGTCAACCGTGGTGTTTGTGCAGTGGACTGTCGCGGGGCATTCAGCGGCATATCCACCGCCCTCTGCCGTGCCGCTTCTGCCGCAAAACGTAGGCGGGGTATCTCCAATACAGGAGGTCCCTGCGCGCTGGATGGAGACGCAACACCGGCCCGAGATTGCATAGTTGCCTGCTGGTAAATGGAAGAGGAGTTGTTCGTGGTGGTGGTGTTTAACATCCCAC